CGGCACGGGCCGGCAGGGAAGGTCCACGCGGGAGCAGCGTCGCTGCGGTGCTGACATCCGCCCCAGCCGGCCGCCCGCAGACCCCTCTCGCGACGCGCGTCTCGGCGGCGGCGGCTTCCATCCTCGGCGGCCGGGCTCCCGATCTCCGTCCCGCCTGCGTCCTTGGTCCGCGGGGCCGGGCAGCCGCAGCGACGGGCATGGCTTCGGCGGGCAGCGGCATGGAGGAGGTGCGCGTGTCGGTGCTGACCCCGCTGAAGCTGGTCGGGCTGGTGTGCATCTTCCTGGCGCTGTGTCTGGACCTGGGCGCCGTGCTGAGCCCGGCCTGGGTCACGGCTGACCACCAGTACTACCTGTCCCTGTGGGAGTCCTGCCGGAAGCCCGCCAGTCTGGACATCTGGCACTGCGAGTCCACGCTCAGCAGCGGTGAGGACCCCGCGCCGCGACCCCGCCGCCTCGCGCCGCACTGTCCGGGACCGCCACCACCCCCTCTCCCCGCCGCTTCGGTGCCCCCCACCCATGCCCTTCCCACCCCATTCCATCTCTTCCCGGAGCCTCGGGCTCCAGCCACCTCCCTGACATCCACCCCTCTCCCCTCCCCAACCCTGGTCGCCAAACCTAAAGCGACGTCCCACGCCCTCTCCCTCCTCTCCTGGCCATTTCTCCCTCTCTGGAGTAACACGTATGCTATTCTGGGTAATTGTAATTTAGAGCGAGAAACATGTGGCTGGGTTAAAAATGCAACCCCTTCTACACCCTCTTTAAAAAAGCAATAAGCAAAAAACGCCCCAACTCCGCCAAGATGCTTTGGGTTCTCGGCTCAGGCCCCCTCACTCTTCTCTGCCCTCTCAGGGAGGAATTTGCCTGAGTTTACCTTTCCGTGCCCACGTTTCTGCCTGTTCTACTCCACCTTATCTGGGTTTCCCCAGTGAGTTTTGGTTTGGATTTGATCTCTTTAGGTTTTTGAGGGATATGGAGAGGTGGGAGAGGGACAGGCATAATTTCCTTTTTTGGTGACATGGTAGTTGGTTGTGAGTTGCCCTTCCTTCTCCCCACCCTTGGTATGTCCGCTCTCCTGCCAGACCTTTCTTTCTCTTCTCCATGAGCTACCGATGCCTGGAAAGTTGTGGCTTATTGAGCCAGCACTACAAGCTGCAAATGGAGCCCCTCGGGGCGAGGAGGTCGGGGAGAAATGGAGGAGAAGAACCACAGGGGCGGCTAGCCCCTGAGGCAGGGGGTGTTTGCTTCTTTATTCCCTCCTTGACTCTCAGTTGTCTTCCACAGAGCCCCAGTTACGCCCTTAGAAGAAATCTGCCAACTTATTTCTTGCTGCAAACCCCTTCCTTTCTAATCTTGATTCTTAAGCTGCTGGTGTCAGCGCAGTGAAAGGGGAGTAAACGGAGAGAACCTGCCCCGTGATACACACATACACACACTCGCACACACACCCAGAGGAACTCATTAAATTCCTTCGTGACAGTTTCATGTCATGTCTAGGACTATTTATAAAGCTTTACTGGAAACGTTTCAAGTTCCAACAAAGTTGAAATAGCACAAAAAGCCACAAAAATCCGATTTGCTTTTGCCTTTGGTTTCTTGTTTTAACAGATTAGTTCACTTGGTTAAGTTTCTTCCGTAAATTTAATTTTCTTTTTACAAAAGGCTCTTTCTTCACTATCACCTCAGAATTCCCATTGAAGGGTTTTGTCTTTGTTGTTTAATTCACTGTGGAGGGGACTGGTTGGCAGCAGGAGGTCAACATTTAGGTCTTTCATTTCTTTCAGGGTTGGTTGTTTACAACTAAGGATAAAATAAATCTGTAAAATGCCTTTCTTCAGTATCCAGGGGAGCCAAATAAACTTTGGAGAAAATATCTTTTCTTCTCCCTCTCCAATAGAAATGGAAATTTATGTAGGAATGCCAGCTTCAGCAGGTCTCCTTAGCAACGTGCATCTTTTGCCCCTTTCTCACTGTCTCCTGAAATAATAGCCCCCTGATTGCATAAAGACTTTTCAGTTAGGTAGAGAAACCAGCTTCAACTCCCACTTTCTTTTCAGGCCCTTATCCTTTTCACTTGGCCAGGAATGTGGGGAATGGGAAGAAGCCAGCTCGAGTTTGAGGAGCTGTATGCAGAGTTTGCTAATCTTTCCTTAATTGCCTCCGTAGCCATTTATCTCAGCTTTTTTTCCTCCCCCTAGGCAAGGAAATTGGGAGACACAGGTTTAATGCAAATACAGTATAGTGGTAATAGGGTTCTGCAAGGTAAAAATCAAAGGCAGGCACAGTTTGTGCCCCGTCCCCAAACGCTTTCTTCTACCCCCTTGCTGAAACTCATACCCCAGCATTTCTGTTTGGGTTCCTGAAAATCAACTGTAGTTTTATTTTGCTGAAAAATTACTTTTCAGCCCAGAAAAAGTAGTTCCTAAGCAAACAGAAAAGAAGTCAGAGTCTTCACTTTTCAGATAGTCTGGAACGATTTTTGCTCTGCTCTCCGAGGGGAAGGGGGGTGGGGGCAGGAAAGGAAACAAAATATGGAGAATTGCTGTGACCATTCCTTACCAAATGGGCTTTCTTAAAATGTTACGTGCATGTGAAGTTTCTATCCACCAGCGTTTGGAAAAACAAAGGGGGAAAGCCTGAATCGAAACCAGCAATGCTTTTCTTGCCTGTTCCGAAGGGTAGGCAGCTTTTTTCAGTCTGTTTGCTGTGTGGAGCTGCAGAAAGCAAGGAGGGAAATGTCTTTCTGATGATTTTAAGAGATCCACTTCATTGTCTCACGAAATGAATTACCTCCAGAGGCACCACCAAGGACAGTTTTACTGAAGGCTCTTCAACCAGTATCTTCAGGGCTTAATTAAAAACCTTTGTCTTAATTAGAATGAAAACTGCCATGAAGAGGCAAGCTTGTATTTATAGAAGGAACATTTCGGGAAGGTTTCTACTGACGACAGTATGCCCTACTTAGGCCCAGTTTCTTCTGAAACTTTCCCCTCACCCATTATTTTTAAAGCTGTGTGGTAATTTTGATACCAAAATACGCACCGTTTGCTATTCGTGTCCCGTTTTCTGGTTCAAGGGAAGCAGAGCCATGCTTCGGTGTGTGTCCTGGTGTATTGAAGGTGGCGTCAGCACTTCTAATATGAACCAGTAATCCGGGTGTCAGTCAGCCGTAATGCTTTTCTGTGGTGTCCCAATTCAATGTATTGGGGACAGTCCAGGCACTCATTTTTAAGCGGTAAGTTTTCCAGAAAGACAAAGGAGAAGATGATGATCAAATTCATGGTGGATACAGAAAAAGAAAAAAGAAAAATAAAAGTATGCTTGGTAGGAAGTTTAGAATAGGTAGCATTACATGGCTGCCAGCCGGCCACAAAATTTCTTTCTAAAGATAGTTTTCCCCACTACTGGGTTTTTGGCAGCCTTTTAATAAATCTTAACTCTTTAAAAAAAATTATAATAATGATTTTAGACTTCTGCTTAGTCACATCTAGTTTTGATAACTTTTCTTTTTCTAGAATATCATGATTTGTTTTTCATAGTCTGAACAATCATGAGAGAATTCTTAATGCAAATAGGAGGTGGCACAAGTGTATACAGAATGCTGAGGCCCTAAACTCTACATCAAAACGGGCTTTACTGTATAACCTCTAGGGTGATTTTACATTTCTTGTTTAAAATTTATAAATGTATATTTTATGTAAAGCAGATTGATATTTGATAGCAGTATGATGTATTGAGTAAGTTAAAAGCAAGGACATGCAGATGGCCCAATGAACACATTTTACTGAGAGTATTTTGGGCTGTATCAAGTGCATTTATCTGTCGTTCCATCCACAGAATACTTGATCCACTAGTTAATGCCTTTTTTTAAGGAATATTGTTAACATCATTCACCTACTGTCCTAAAAATAACTGCATTTGTAAGGTGAGTCACTGGCAGTGCACCCTATGCTAATAACAGGTGAATATTATTATTTTCCGTTGACAAGAGGTTCTTTTAAGAATGCTTTATATGTAGCTCTTTTTTTTAAAACTTTAATATAAAACCCCATTTTAAAAGACATTATAAGAAGACCTGTCTTATGTGGTAGTTTAAGATAAACCGAACTGCCTGGACACCTGCACATCTTAGAAAATCTGAGATATAGTGATTCTTTGTTCAGATATGTATCATTGGTGCATTTTTTCATCCATATCTTAATTGAGAAATAGAATTTCATTGATAAAACTCACAATGTAATTCCCTCCAGGGAAGGTTCTGCTTGTTGCTTGAAATGGGCTGATATTGACACATGTTTACAAATAGCTCAGCAAGCCTGGAAGTCACTCTAGTTGTACCCTCCTCTGGCTTCCTCGAAAACAACATAAGTACAACAAATACAGTTTTGTTTAACCTGTACAGCATAGACAAATGGGTGGAAAATTAACAAAGAGTACCAGTTAACACCACGACTTTCTCAATTAATAAACCAGATAAAATCCAAGTATAACTTATTTCACAATTTTCATGGTGATTTTCTTTTAAAATCTCCTCGACTTTCAAGTTCTTCAGATTCACTCTTACAAGTGACATTATAATTTGTAGGCATATGCAGCTCCTCTTTTGCTCACATTTATAGAAGGATTATAATCTCCAGGGAGCCATTTAGATCAGTCTTTGGTAGCTAAGGGATTTGATGGGTGTGTGAAAAGTCTGACCTTTAATGAAGCATTTCAGAACAAAACCAAACCAAACAAAAGCATATCTCAGTCAATTTTACCTACTGTCAGGAAAACATTTCAAGAATTTCCTTCAAGTTTCTGTTTAATAGTAAGTCCACTTAGAGCATAGATGCATAGATTTACTTATGAATAGGGTTGTAGATCATGGGCATAATCTATTTTTTATGCAGTTTTGCACTGTATGAATCTTCTCTATAAATTGTGTTAAATTTTAATATAATCCTATAACCCAACAGAGTAGTTCTGTGGGCAATGCCTGAGCTTTGTATTCTAACAGACCTGAACTTGGCCAGTTACCAATCAACCATGTGACCTCATACAATTTAACCTCTTCAAAAGGTTTGTTGTGAAGATTAAATATATGAATGTACCTGCTTGTTAAGATTGTGTTTCTTATTATATAATCACAAAAACAAACCTGAAGTGACTTTTTTGGTCAATAATTGAGATTTTTTTTACCCTGAGTAGTAAATTTTCTTTGCATTGAATGATGAAGTATTTTGTAAATTTCAAAATTAAAATTTGGTATTCACTGCCTAGCATTTAACAATACCTTTGGTAGATCATGATCACAAAACAATGATCCAATAGTTACCTTTTATGGAGCACTACTACAGGCCAGACAGATCAGTTATCCCCAACATCACAGTAAACTTGCAAGGTAGCTAATGTTATCCCTATAAATTATTGAGGGGACTGTGGAT